ATTTGCGTCGCCTGATACGTAGCCGCCCCAAGGCGGACTTCTTTCCATGCCCCGCCTTTGGCTCCGCCCCTTACCTTCGATTGTCCATAGAGTGTGGTTTTTGTTTCTCTTCGGAAACTGAATCTTTGTGCGTGAAACTTTGTATGTTGTCTCTAGTGATCACAACTGACATATGGATGCAAGACTTTTCCGGGAAGGATTCCTTTAATTTCTTCAAATCAACTCGGGATATTTCCAACTTTTCAGAACTTTCAACTTCAGATGTCTCTCCTTCAAAAGCGCAAATGTTCCTTGCCATAACTCATGTCAAACTTCATATTTTCAGCTGATTTCAGACAGCTTTTTTAATGCTCTATCGATACCCATGCCGGGTGCAGTAGGCGAGATCAATTCCCGTCAACTAGAATGACTACTTTTCCTGAAAAAACACAAAAGCAACAAATTTTCTTTCTCAAAAAAGTTTCATCATGATAAGAAAGATGTAATAAATGACCACTAAACCGGAACAAAAGAGCTTCTCTCAGCGTTTTTGTGCCATTGCGTCCACTAACGATGAAGGGTAGACCACGTAAACAAATGGAAAAATGACCTACAATGAGAGTTTTTTATGCCCCATCCGATCTTCATTTCAACACTACGTCATCGAGAAAAGATCGCACTTTTTCCTTGTCCCTTCGCCCTCCACTTGCCCACTTCACCTTCTCACACCAAACCGAGGGTATATTACCATCCTGGGGCATTGTTTTGATACCCCTAATTGGAAGCGGAATCAAAAACGCTCTAAACACACTACCGATCATTCTTAAAAGCACAATCTAGAATGGGGAAACGAATTGTGGAGAATAAGCCGAAAAGATGGCATTGCGATAGGAGGCGCCGTCTTGGCATCGGATGCTTGGGGAACGATGTTATTAGGTGAGACGCTGGTTCATCCGCCCCTTTGGAGCGTCCGCTTACCGTAGACATAATGTCTAAAAGCACAAATCCATGATGGCAAGAGCAAAATGTGGCGGATAGCCAAGGACAGAGTCTGGACGTTGCATCCGAGGCGCCGTCGGTGCATCGGTGTGGGGAACGACAGTATTTGCGAGACGCTGGCCTGTATAGTACCATCCGCCTACCGTAGAAGTAATGAACCATTTGTCTCGCCGATCTGCATGATCTCTAGTGTCGAGGTATTTCCATTTTCCCTCTGCGCTTATTATCTCTCATCTCGCTGTCTAACCCGCTTCCTTCTCCAAAATACAGATCAAATATATCTGTATTCTTTTCTCTCGGATTACGATTCCATTCGTCTACTACGTTCACTACTAAGTGCTCTCACCGTACCAAATTGATCATGTGGTGTGCTTTTGAGACAATATTTGACCTATTTTGGAGGCTGCATCATCGACTATACTCTACAAAGCCTCAGGATTACATTCTGGACTGAGGACTGAGAAGCAACCAGTGAAATGTGATTTTCAGCCCGATGGGGTCGCTGGCTTCCCGTACTTGGTGATGGCGGCAATCGGATTTCTCGATATTGTCTTCTTTCAATTCACACTACCTGAAACCAAAGGAAATCCGCTCCCGAGCGAGATGCCAGCGAAGAAGAAAAAAGCTACCATTGAAAGCATGAAACTTATCAATAGAGCATAAAAGTAACTTATTTGGAGGTCGAATATAATGAGTATAATAAAGATTAATAAATTATGATGATTTACCTTAGAAGGGGTCGTAGAAGAAAACTACATGACTACACTTCAGCGAAATACGATGTTATGTGAAACAGTACAATGGAACGAAATCATCTCGTTTCCAGAAAACTCCTCAATGGAAACTCTGTAGGAAGGGAAGCGTAACGCTGTAGCCCGCACATGAAGCGTAAAGTCTTGTCAAGAATTCATACCAGCGATGGCTACGGAACCACGCACCACAATGCACCACACGCGCTAACCAACTGCGCCAATGGAGCATGCTCCCAATCAATTTTGGCATAACGAATTTTCTAACCATTTCGCTTCAGAAATCTCTTGCAGAGTTTATGGGAAAGTAAAAACAGTGGAGAGGATCAAGGAAAACCAGCGCTTCCGTGGCGCAATAGGCAGCGCGTTCGGCTGTTAACCGAAAGGTTGGTGGTTCGAGCCCACCCGGGAGCGAGACTTTTGCACACCGGCTGTTGGTCGCATAGACCTCCGAAGGACACGAAATCGTGAGAAAACCGCCTGAAGAACACATTATAGGCGTGCAAAAAATTTGCTCCATGGGAGGATCGAACTCCCGACCTCGGCATTTCTTAATCTTATGAGTGCCGCCACTTACCGACTGCGCTAAAGAGTAATCATGCAAGTTGTTTCTACAAGGCAGCTCTTTCTCATGACAGCGCTTCCGTGGCGCAATAGGCAGCGCGTTCGGCTGTTAACCGAAAGGTTGGTGGTTCGAGCCCACCCGGGAGCGAGACTTTTGCACACCGGCTGTTGGTCGCATAGACCTCCGAAGGACACGAAATCGTGAGAAAACCGCCTGAAGAACACATTATAGGCGTGCAAAAAATTTGCCTCATGATCGCTACATACCGACTGCGCGAGTGAAGCATCAAGCATCAACAAAGCGCCCAATTAATTTTGGCATAACGAATATTCTACCGATTACGATTCAGTGTTCCCTTAAAGGACCAATGATAAGGTGGAGGCTTTCCGGGCTGTTGCGCTGAAACACATCATCTAGGCACCGTTTCACTCCAATGTAGCAGAAGGTCACTTGTTGAATCAGTCAGCAGATATCGGCAGTGAACCGCGAGGCTGAAACTTTGTTAGAAGTTACCATATTTCAATTTGGTTTTATTAGATAACTGCTGTTTTACGCCGCAGTTCGCGTTGCGAAAGTTATCACAAGAATGCTGAGTTGTGGGCAAAACTTTCGCCCAGCCGGGATTCGTACCCGGATCTCTTGCTTTCCGGGCGAGGAGTCAGCATTCATGGTGATAAGCTATGGTGTATTTACCTCGAAACTGAGTTGGGGTGGAACGGGCTCTGGTAGTGTTGCTGGTCGCACAGTTTCCCGAAAAACAAGAGAACCGATCGAATCCCTGAAATTTGGCACACAAGTCAGCATTCTTGTCATAGGTTTCGCAACGTAAACTGTGGCGGCGAATCAAATAGGAGCGTTTCCGCCGTCAACATTTGTGACAGATGTACGGCGGGATTCCAAGCGAGTAAGATTTTCTTACTCTTTTGGATTGTTCACTAAGGCAAATGCTATTTGCTCGTTTCTTTTTTGTTCATCATTTAGAATAGCTGTTAAACTGCTGACGATCAGTGGGTACAGAAACCCATGATCTTTCTGGGGACGAGTGCTTTTTTCGGACCGCCCGTTAAACGCGTATCTTCCTATCTTTGTTTCTTAAAGAAACCAGATAAAACTATGCTCTTCCGTGTGAAATCGGTACGCTTTGGGTTCAAGACAAGCCTCACGATATAACTGGTGTGTGAGAGCGCATCGTAGTGATGAGCTGTGGACTAAAAAAGGAAAGGAAAGCAAGAGGAATCATCGAAAACGCTAAAATTAAGCCTCAACCTTCAGTAAGGTCGGATGTGATACGATGGCGAGACAGGGCGATCAAAGAAGACAAAATACGCGAGAGAGCACGCTGATCTCTACGGTGTCCGTGGGTGGGTAGGTGCAACGGGAGTCATTAGTTGCAGGTACTTAAGAGCTGCCGCCTCAATCCAACAATTCGTGCGACGAACTAGCATGATTTATTTAGGTACGGAGCCCAGAATTTTACTCACAGTATCCTTCTTACAAGTCGATCTGATCCCGAGGCTTGTCTTCAAAGCGAAGAGCTCCCAACAAAACGAACAAACGTTTAAAACACAACGAACATCAGTCATCACACAGCATGAGGTGCCTAAAATTAGTGCTCCTCGGCGCGTAGAAGTTTAAAAAAAGGACTTCAATTTAACTTCGAACTAAGTCGCTTCTCATAGCCTAGCCAATAGGTGAAATCTAGGCTAGCGACCTTTCGATAGCTCTCTTTAGTGTCGAAAAAGGGTTGAAATAAAGTTTGCGATCAATTCAAGACTAAGCACATACGTAAGAGAGGGGTCTCCAGCGACGCCTTTAATGCACGGGGGGAAATTTTTTTCCACAGTTTCTCCCATCCTCCTAGGTATAATGTTAACACGTTGACGAAAGCGCGGCAACTATGTATGCCGCTATTTTTGCTTCTCCATGGACATTGTGGCAACTATGTTGCTGCCCACACCAGTTACATTTTTTGCGCACATGCTCGATTTCTTCCTAAGCTCTTTATGTTCATTTTATAGGTCATACATCAGCGTAACCAAGAAGCACCTGCCTCACATAATGACCAATTGTTTCTTAAAGCAACAGTCCCAGAGTGGGCGTGGTCGGAAAACGGCTGCAATCCCCTCGGCCGATTCCCACTTCGGAGCTGTTCAGCCCCTAGTCAAGAACGTAAGAAGTGTGACTGAACAAAAACTCACCTTGGAAAGCCGCTAGGCAGGGAGCTGAAGTGGGCGTGGTCGGAATCGGCCGAGGGGATTGCAGTCGTTTCCGACCACGCCCACCCTGCTGGGACTGTTGCTTTGAGTCTCGCCCAAGCGTTTTTCGGCACTGACACAATATCGTGCGATTCTTCTACTTGACGAAAATATCCGTTCGATTCATTCCTAGTTTTCTTTTCATTAACGTTAACAGAAAGGAATGATAGAAGCCAATACGAATCTATTCGCATGGAGAGACATGTGTTTTTACTGGAACAACCACGTCCAATATTAATTTTGGAACCACTAAAGGAAAAGTAAGTAAAATTTGCCTTTTCATGGCCTTAACACATCATTTCGGTCAAAATTCCATTACTGTAACTTCCGGTAAGTTAGACAGTTCGAACACTATTGAAAACAATTCAACGCATATAAGTATAGCGTATTTACGGCTCCCCCACTTTCTTCACGATTTGGGGCGCGGCCGCGGCAAACCCGGCCGAGTATGCGCCATCAGCTTACCTGAGTATTCGACGTTACATTACGTATCGCAATGTAACGTCGAATACTCAGGCAAGCTGATGCCGTAATGTAACGTCGAATACTCAGGTAAGCTGATGGCGCATACTCGGCCGGGTTTGCCGCGGCCGCGCCCCAAATCGTGAAGAAAGTGGGGGAGCTATTGCAGCCCAAAATACATGATTTGGTAAAGGGCGGCGGCGCTCGCAAAACATCTAGGTCACGCGGAGAAAATTTAGGCGGAAACTCGGGGTTCGGGGGGGGGGGGGCACGCGATGGCGCGGCGCTCTGTTCGTCTGCTCCTCCAAGGCTTAGTCCACAGGGACAGTTACTCTTTCGCCATTATGTGGCAGTTTCAAAATACGCGCCATCGGTGACTAAGCCTTGGTAGAGCAGACGAAAACAGCGCCGCGCCATCGCGTGCCCCCCCCCCCCCCCCGAGCCCGACCAGTCTCGCGCATATTACGTTCATAGACTCCATGTCATAAAACACAAGAACACATACATTATATAAAAAACTAGAAGACACAACGTGGGAATAAAGCAATTCGTAGGTTTAAAGGACTTGTTGAGCGAGACTGACCGTGGAGCAGACTATGTATCGCAATGCCCAGTCCCTTTCCTAATAGACCCCACAAGCAAAGCTAAGGCTTCGTGGCAATATTATCTCGGCCGAAGGCCAAAACACAAAATAAATTCTCTTTCAATTTGTGCCTCGATCCTCGTACGAAAAAGAAGTCAGATATGTATTAGGGGTCTCATCCAGTGAGGGGGGACGCGGACTACAGCGCCTAACGTGCACATTAAAGACATTGACCAGCCTTTCTTGTCAAACCGGTAGGGCTGAACTTTAGAAAATTGAAATTTTGAGGAGCGAGAGAGAATTTTCGTGTTCCCTACAGCCCATCCCCTCCTAGATTAGTCCTCTGAAAACTCTAAACCACAGCATGCAAAAAGAAAAAAAGATGTATAAGGGTAGAGGCAATAACACATCCCGACGTGAATGACTCCTTGATGGCAAGTTGACAACACGAGCAAATGGCACCGCCAGGCTTCTGTAAGAGACTCTACTTAGGGGTTTTCCGAAAGTAGTGCGAAATAATTCGTTGTCCAGCGCTAAGCCGTAACTGGTAGCACACTTGCCCGCAAAAGCGAGAGGTTCGGGTTCTAGTCCCGCCTGGGGCGAAAGTTTTGTTCACAACCCAGCATTCTTGTGAAACATTCGCAAGGCGAACTGCGGCCCAAAACAAGCAGTTAACAAACAAAACTAGTTTTTGTGTTTTAGATGCGATTGGAATATAATAGGTTGTGAAGGAATCTTGCGCTTTTCGACCTTGAAATTCACATGCATGTGTCTCGGTTCATTCAAAACTTTTTTGATTGAAGTAAAAACTTTTAGAGTCGACAACTCTGTGGTAATAACAAACAGGTTGAATTGACCCGGTTGCGCAGTACACTTGAAGCTCTAGAGGCGACTGTGACCCCAGCGCAGTCGTTTCAGCATCTATAGTTGGTTTTGAACATACTCTTTCAAAAAGCTATCAAGGCATCGAGAAAGTGAACAGTTAACGCAGGGTGTCTATCGGAGTAAAACGGCTGGTTAGGGCTTAATGTGTAATCCAGCTAGTGTTTACTTTGCTGCAGATTAGTTGCTGGCAATTTGCGTCCGAGTACCTGTCAGGACAGAGCCGGTTCATATTTTAATGAGAATGCTGGACGAATGTGCTAGAATTAGTACTAAATTATTTTAGGAATATGTCAAGTGTACTTTCCCAATTCAACAGTTCCACCTGGTCTCGAAGAGCCTGATCACCGCTGACTTTATGAAATGTCACCTCAACATTCCTTCAGTACAGTTTCGGTTTGGCAACATTTGTGGAGCCTGATTGCGGTTGATTCATTCAGCAGAAGTTCGCATGCTGTAGCAAAGAATCTGCTCGTTATCGCATGTCGCAAATGAGTGAAAAGGAGGTCGCCTTCATTGCGTAAAATAAGCTAGAAAGGGGGACGGACCCTACAAAATTGGTGTCAGTTGTGCGCGCCCACCCCTTTAACATGTTCGGGGCGTGCTGTTTCGCCCTTTCAGAGCGTGTATGTTCTCGCCGGTAAAGGGCAAACACCTGGGATTAAGCCCGCGTAGTCAATAAGGACACGGAAATTGTAAGCGTCTAGCACCCACCTGGATTCACTTCAGCTTGTCGCAGTGCGCCGGGCGCTAATCCTTACAGGCCTGTACCATCGACCCTCTTGCAGCGCTTCCACTACCGGGGAGATAGTGAGATCGACCTTGACATTAATTATGGAGAAGTCTGACAGCCGAAAGCAGAGTCTAGCACCAGCACTCAGCGATTGCTCTAGTTACTGCGATTGCACATTCGCTAGTCCTGACACGCACCTACGCCAAGGGTAAACTCCACTACAAAATTTTTCTTGAAGCATGAAGAGTTAGTTTTAGCAGTTGTTTAGCAAGCATACTCACAATCTGATTGTTGTCGATGATAGCGCTGTATGTTTTGAGCGAAGGGGGAAAATACTTCATTTGTGATCATGGTTTACTTGGAGGTGGTGATCCTCGCGTGTATCGGAGCACCAGCACTCTTACTTGAAGAAAGTACGCCTTTTTTGAGTATTGCATGAACACTAAATAAGTATATCATATAGCATGTACTGGAGCTGATTTACACTAAAGGTTTTACGCGAGTCGGCTGCTTCGAAGTTCTGGATCAATTTCGCCACGATTTGCCGTCAAAGGAAGAAATGGGCTCGATCAGATGGATTAAAACTGACCTGATCTCTTACGGAATCCTCCCTCCGTACCTGTGGGACACATTTGAAACGAATGCAAGCGGTGATTAGCTTTCAATTTTATCCATGAGAACTAATAGATCCTGAGAGAATAAGTTAATGTGCGCGCATGCCATGATTCATTTTTCCTGAACGGCCCTCTGAATACCAGAAAAGGAGGTCCCTAGTTCGATTCCTCGTGGTAACAAATTTTTGCATTCGAGTTGACGAGGAATCGAACTAGGGACCCCTTTTCTGGTATTCAGAGGGCCGTTCAGGAAAAATTGAACCATGGTTCTGTGGTTCCCGCATGTGCCCCTATATCATGCAAAAAACCGTTTTGAAAAAGCTTGGCACACCCTGAACGACCTCCCTTGTTAGCTGACATAGGAGCGAAATCACCTGGGTGGGGTGGAACTCCTTCGGACACGCCTTTCTCCCAAAACAGCCTCTTTCGCTGGTTTTGGGGAGGATGGTTTGACATGGTTCTCCAGGGGGTTGGGTGCGTGCATCTCGGGATTCTTCAATTCATACGCAGGAGGCAAACTATGAATGGGTGAACTTATACCTTGCAGTTAAACATGTCTTCGAATGTAGCAGCTTTCCCAGCTTGTGCAATACTTTTTTGAGCTCACAAAATTTTCACCTGAGGAACCGCATTTCTAGATAACAATTCAACAATTGACGATTACACGGGAAAGAATCTGACACTCGATGTAAGTGTTTATTTCATTACCCATCCGTCGTTAAGTCGCTCTGTCGATATGTATGTGTGAGTATGTGTGTCGGTCGGTAAGTTTATCTGTCCATCCGCAATATGGAGTAGTGGGGAAGGTAGAAACGTACCTAAATTTCGCGTTAAGGCTTTGTGATCAGCTTATGTAAAATTCATTGTTTGCTAAGGCGTCAACAGCTCTCCCCAACCCATGTCACGTTAATCTCATTACAACATTGAGCTTGAAAAAAGCGATTCTCGAGGCAGGGTGAAAATCGTGTCGAGTACGTGGTCGCAGAAGTACGACCCCCCCCCCCGAAATCGAGATCCTGGCACGACCCCCTAAAACAGAGCAAATTAATTCAATTAATTAATCAAAAAAATCCTGCAAAATAATGTTATGGACCTCATCTTGTCATCTATGCACTGTCTTTCATCGCTGCACACTTTTGTGTATTTACTGAAATATCGACTCGAGGAAAGAGGCATTAACTTTGTGTGACCTCAAAGTCAGGTTCGTTCAGAAATGCACAGAAATCCTGAAGGCACGGGGTTGCGATTCAATCTTGATTCCTGCTTGAGTATATCAAAACAGCCGAGTGTATCAAAGGCCGATTCAACGGCAGCTGCGGCGCGATTGTCACTGGGTCAGATTTGCTGAAATCCCGAAAAAAAACGTCGAAATCTACACCCTCGATGAAAAGGTTGCATTCCTCCATTTCATAACCTTTGAAGCAGTTTGAGGTAGGGTTAGATAGAGCTGGATTTCGCGTTTCCAAGAAGTATTGAAATTGCTCTGAAAGCCTTCCATGCAGAAAGATAGGGTCTCTCAAATTTCGTCGAGTAAACGTCGAGGACGCTGAAATTTTCATGCTAGTTTTTGCCACTTCAAAAGCAATATCTCTCTACGTCGTCGTAATAGTTTTCGAAAGCGGAAGGTTTGCGCTTTCTGATGGTCTTCTTAGCTTTCTTCTACATTTCCTAGTTGAGAAGATATCTGCGTCGAGTATGTATCGAGGACGGATCCGGCCACCTGAAAATCCGCTCCCTTCTTCACCATTGCAAGTGTAATTGTTGGCAACGCTTGAAATGGGTCTAGAAAACATCCTCCCAACATAAGCAATAGGAAAAGGGGCAATCGTCATCATCGAATTTTGTCTGAGTATAGGCCATGCATCCGACCTCACTCGAAGTTGCAGAATCGATTCGAAGGTGTCATATGATCATGACCAGTTGACAGAAGCTGCATTGTAGTAAACGCATTTCGTAACTTCGTATAGCATACATTATACGAAGTTACGAGGGCTTTGCAGCGCGTGCGCACATGTGGCACTCTTCTTTGCGGGGATGCACTTTCATTCTTTGTACTGCCTTCAAATACGCCCTTCTCATGAAGGTGGAGGAATGGAGCGACTGAACCTGCAAAGAAAATTTAATATCATGTTTTTTCAGATATTTTCATTTTCTGCTGCGCTATACCCTCTTACCTATCTGCACCACGATACCACTGCTGTTACTGACCCCCAAGAGTACGACCCCCCATGACCAGCCCGACAGGTACGACCCCCCTGTCGAGGATTTCCTCGACCGATATTCACCCTGATTCCGAGTGGGAGTTGCAGAGGCCTCAATGGTTAACTCATAGTCGAGAAGGAAAAGAAGGCGATGGGATTGTGGAGGCGCAGATGCCACGTTCAACCCTCCAGTAAAAAGTACTCCGAAGGACTTTTCTCTTGGAGGGTCAACGTGGCAAACGTGGTATCTGCGTCTCCATGAAACCATTATCTTGCCCTCTCTGATCGGCTTCACTAATGGTAGGTAGAAGTTGAAGAATGCGACTGCAATCGCACATACCTCATTTCTGCAACCATTTTTTGAGCTGTCCGCCTGTTTCTCTTGTTCTTGTTGTTCTGCGCATCACAAGCAACTTAGGCCTGCTCGTTGTTTCATCCGGAAACAATTGGCGGTTGTCGCATTCCCTATTCCATGCTAAAGGCCTTTTGGTCACGATGTTCTGATCGCGGATTGAAGGCAGCGATTACGATAAATTCAAGAAGGGTTTAGGTGACGTGGTGGTGCTCAATGGTACGCCAGTAGCGAAAAAAGCAGAAAAATCCGTCAAGAAAACGCAAAACGGGACCCCTTTTTTGGCCGTTGGTTTTCACTCATGAACAGGTAACAGCTCAGAAAGTGGACGTATGAACGAGTTCACCGCAACGCGTTTGATGGCACCATGCCAAACACGCTTAATCGAGATGCTCCATTTGTGCCGCTGCTGGCCACGCAGCTCGTCCAAATCACCAAGTAAACTTGTGGGCGGATCGCGTTTAACCTTACCTCGTGTTACCTACAGACGAGATCTAGATACATTGAGTGAAACCGGAGATACCTCTTGCGAACCATGAATAGTAGAATAGTAGAAGCATTCAGGAGAAGTACGAACTTCCATTTTTTGATGAAGCTCGTTTTGATGAATTCTTTTGGGACTACTCTCTGACAGCAAACTCTACCAATGTGTCTGTCTCGGTGACCATCAGGGATGCCGAATGCTTTTGTAAGTTGAGCTTTGATGGAATTTTTTGTGGTTTTAGATAGTCTGACTATCTTTCCATCTATTAGGGAGCTTTGTAGCAAGTGCTGTGATGAATCGGGTTTTAAAATAGGGGAAATCCTCGTGCTGTAGAGGATAGACCCTCATTAGATTTGATAGGAGCCCTTTATCAGGGGAACATGACGCTTCGTAGCGTCGCAGTGTATGCTAGGATAGGAGTTTGTAATAGGGGCGCTTGCAGATGCATGGTGGTCAACACTGAAAATTCTTTTGGAAACGGGAAATGGTTCTTAAATTGCTTGACAATAATTTCAATTCAGCAGCTTCAACAACATCTTCATTTACGGTCTATTTGACGGCAGTCAACTCTGAAAACCAATTTCTATCCTGGATGCCAATACATTCGGAAGACTTCCAGTACAATGCTACTACTGGAGAACGACATTTCTCGGTAAGAAGTTTGCTAGTAGGAATGCTCACGTACCGTTCTAGTGTACACAGTTCAGTGCTTGAAGTTGCGGTAACTTATTTGTAAACCCAAACATTCAGTAAGCTGGCCATCAGCCCTTAAGCTGACTGCGCACATCTGTAACTATCAAGAGAATCTTGTCACTGACTTAGCACAGGGCAGAGACAATGGGGCGCTTTTCGAACCGGTTTTCTCTGGCATTTTGGCAGGATCTCATCGCGAATGCCCAGAACCATGATTCATTTTTCCTGAACGCGTCTAGGAATGCCAAATCAGTGCTGTAAAGAAATCGTCCAGAGTTCGATCCCGGTGATGACTAATTTTTGCAATATAGTTTGGCGCCCCCAGATTGCCGCCAAATGGCGCCATCGTCGAGAATAGATGTCATTGTCGTGTTTTGCGGCAATTTGGAGGCGCCAACATAATTGCAAAATTTGTCATCACGGAGGATCGAACTTTGGACCATTTCTTCCCGCTGTTTTGACATTCCTGGGGCGTTCAGGAAAAATGGACCATGGTTCTGTGTTCCTCACATGAGCCTCCACAACATTCAGAAAGCCAATTCTGAAAGAACGCTCCATGTCCTGAAGCCCCCCCCCAGTTGGCTTCAAACAATGCATGCAATGGTGGCTCATTCGTTCTGACGAAAACGACTATTCGGAGGTGGCAGCCGCGATGATCCTAGAAGGCAACTATGAGCCTTCAGTCTCCCGAATCTCGCTATTCAACAACACTACGCAAACGTATTTACTCGTATGGGAACCTGGGCTCGGGCTAACCAAGCCTTCCATCCCTCCGGGGTCGGTTAATTGGTACCAGACTTGTCTGGGAGGATAAAAACACTGACTTGTACATCGGCTGGCCCCGCAAGTCATTGTATAGGCCACATCGCATTCAAACGCCACTACGAATGTACAAATGGAAGTAGAATGCGTGCCGCATCCCAAGACGGGATTGATCAACGGCAAAAGCTTTATACTTTATTTTATTATGGGAACTTGGGGAAATTCTGTAATCTGCAGGTTTTACTGTTTAGGATGTCTTCTAAACTTGGCATAGTTGATTTAGATGAATAGCTCGTTTAAGTAGTTCAAGATTGGATAATTTTATCCAGCTGATTTTTCGGTTTCGTTGCTGGATGGAAAACAAATGTGACTTGCCCTCCTCTTGGCTCGATACGAGAAGAAGCTTTATCTCCTCTTACAACATACCATGGCCTAGCGAAATTCGTAAAATAGTTTGAAACGCCATTTATGCTGAGTAGCTTAGCATTAGGCCTCTTTTTAGATAATCCACCTTGGTATATGGATTATCTAAAAAATCTTTTCTTTATTTGCTCAGTGATTTTATTTTTGCTTACTCCTTCTTATATGTAAAGGTAAGTAATTATTATTTAGACAACAATCAAGGGAAACCTTCATGGAGCAGAAACTCTGGATGATTGCATGAAATGGTACATTTTGTTATAATAAGGCTATTTATGTATCGACGTGATGCTTCTGTAAACGTTAGGGTGAACTGGACTGAACTTTCAGAGCTAGAGTAAAACGGCATAGCTTTTTTTTCCGTTAGGCAACGCTGCATTGAACACCCCCCCCTCACCCCCTTCTGGTATGTTGACACGACCATCCCCAACGCGAATGCTTGTTCGGGTAAGAGGGCCAAATGATCCTGAGCTTTTCCTGCACCCTATCGAAGCGCCAACGCTGGCTCGCAGCGCGACACCTACAAGCGCTTCCATGGAGCCGCTTTCGGGTTGCATCTATTTTGGGCGAGCACTAGTATCGATCGTGATCCTTTACGCCCCAAGCGAGGCCGTTTGCGCATTGTGTCTAATCCAGTAGAGGCTATACACCGCGCTCTAAGGCATCATTGCGGATGCCGCGTCTAATCATTAAGAGCCGCCTCATAGTTCGCTGGAGCAATTAGGATAGTACCGACATGAAAAACATATGTATTAAGCAGCGAGAATTAGGAGTAAGTAATGAAGGAGATTGCGCTGACAAGATTAGATACGTATCGATTGAAATCGCTGGAGAGTAGTAGATTGCGATATTACGATAGTAGGATAGTAGTAGAGTAGGAGATTAGGATAGTAGTAGATTAGGATAGTGCGCTGACAAGATTAGATATGTATTGATCTATTCGCTTGAAGTCGCCCAATCTACTACTCTCCAGCGATTTCAATCGATACGTATCCAATCTTGTCAGCGCAATCTCCTACTCTACTACTATCCTAATATCCTGTCGCCTACTATCCTAATCTCCCGAGTCGCGAACTATGAACGCGGCTAAGGCGCGTTAATGTCCTGGCCGTCTAGCGCAGCATTTTTCATATGCATCACACCGAGACGAGTCTCAGCTTCTCCAGTCGCGGGCCACAATTTTGCCCCACGTACATTTGAAGTATCAAATGATGACAAAGTCTACAGTGTAGAGTTCACGCTGTAAGCAAATTCCAGATCGATCTCATTTCCACACCGCGTTCATGGGACTGAAAACGTAACTCCACACAGGCTGCCCTCATTTCTCTAAATGAAGGATTACGGTCATTCAGACTTCAGTCTTAACCAGAGCACGTTTGAAACGCTCAACACTAATCATAGCATAGTTAAGCGCTCAGCACTTTCAGTAGCCTTACAACGAAGTTTTTTGATTTGTTGAGAACAGTAACTAAGAACTAAGAATTATCGTTATTTTCAGCTACACTACGATTGCGTTCCGCGGGCTGATCTTGTATTTATCCGGTTTGATAATCAACCAGAAGACGCGTGGGCCATTGATGAAATTTTTGTGGACACAAATTACAGTCTGGGACCACTAGAGCTTGAGTAAGTCCAGTTAAAGTCTTTATTCAACACGGCACATTATTAGCTATTTGGGAAGATGATTTCGTCACTGACGTAAACATGTAAATAATATTATTGGAGATCTCTGCGATTTCTTTCTCAATGACTATCTCTCATTCGTCGCAAACATGGAAAAGGAAATCTGAGAAGGGGCGAATTACCTTTGCTCGTCCGGTCCGGGTTGCACGGGGCAAATTCCACGGCCAGTTCCGCCGCAATGCGGGTGCGAAAATTGTCGTACTTTGCTAGCCTGGCAACTAGCCAGTTGCTTTCTATTTGACTTGTTCATTTCGCTTGCAGTGATGAAATTTATCGCAAATGTCGTACGTTCCCTGTGCCTATTGTATTAGCATATTTCGGGGAAAGCAACACTCCCAGATCGAATTTGTGAGCTCACAGTGGTTGATACTGTGGTCGTGGATGATGCAAAGTGAAATATAAAATACCACTTGTGCTATTCAACTACAATTTTTTCAGGCAAAAATGGCATTTTGAACATCCTATCTTGATACCTTGCGCTTCATGGTTGGACAGGCCATCGATGTATCAAATTGGTCCCAGGAATGGGCTGTTCATCAGATATGATTATCACCACAATGTT